AGTAGAATTTATTTTATTTAACAATAAAAGATATCAAATTAGTTTGTAAAAAAATGGTTGAAATCGAGATCGGTTCAAACCTATCTTTATGTTTAATCGAACTTTCTAAAACTTTTTTCCTTTGTTTTGCATTATACTATATATTATATTATATATTTAAATTTTTTACCCTTATAGTAAAAGTAAATAATTAATTAGAATTCAATCTAATCAGTTTTCTTGACCAATTAGATTTTTCTCCAAATAATTCTCTTCCAAGGCTTAAAAGGTGAGGGAGACTCACAACCTGTAATAATCTTTACTTTATGTAATAATCTTTACTAACTCTCATTTTCGCTAACTCGGCTACTTCATCGTGGGTTGTTTGTCGACTGGTTTTTATAATTGTGATTCATTTACTTGAATTATTTATGTTGTAATTCTAGATGCCAAAAGTTTCTTTGTTGAAATATTACGTAGTTGCTAAAGGAGAAAAAACTGGAATTTTTTTATCATTTAAAGAATGTGAAAAATATGTTAAAGGTATTCCTAGAGCTTTGTATAAATCATTTTATACAAAGATCGAGGCTCAGAATTTTATTGATCAACAAAATATTAATATTAAAGACTAGTTAAATGTTTGGACAAACGGATACTGTAAAAGAAACGGATTATCAGATGCTATTGGAGGTATAGATGTATTTTTTGGAGATAATGATATTAGAAATCTATCTGAACGACTACCTGGTGAACGTCAAACTAACAATCGTGCAGAAATCTATGCTGTGATTAGAGCTCTTAAAATTTGTGATAAAAAAGAAAATTTAATTATAAATACTGATAGCAATTATGTTATCATCTCTAGAGATATTAAAAAACCAAAAACTAATTTTGATTTAGTTAATAGATTCAATGATTTGATTAAGGAACATGAAGGGAAAACTTATTTAAAACATGTGAAGGGACATAGTGGTATTTACGGGAATGAACAAGCTGACAAACTTGCATATTTAGGTTCAAAAAAACCAGACATTAAATTAAATTTACCAGAATGTGAAAACACTATCAAAAAATATTTTAAATAATTTTTTTTTATTTTTTATTTTTTTAATAAATTAATATCTTTAATATTCCTCATCAACTAAATTTGATGATTATGTTTTACAAGAATCAAAATGCGATTCGTATTGGCGACTAGGAGTGGGGAACCCAGTCAAAAATTCGAATCAAATAACGATTCGCTTACAGTAAATATAAAAAACTCAACCCAACCCACGATAAGCAATTGCGAGTCTAGCGGCACACCAAAAAAAAGCTTGTTTGGTAAACAAAAATTTTAAAAAAAATCTAATCGGTTTATAAACTGATTAGATTTTTTTTTATGTAATTTTGATTATTAATAATGTCTCAATCTGATTCTGAAGTTCAAATAAATTTTAGAAGACAAATTATGTTTCCTGAAAATGAAGGACATATAACTGAATATATTCAAATCAAGTTAATATTTATTTGTTCTTTCTCTTTTTTACTTTTCATGTTTATGAATTTTATTTTTTTCTTTCAATCTTTCATTATATTCATATTTGTGTTTTTTCTTATTTCAATTCGTTCAATTTCTTTTTCATATTT